CTACTGACTAACTACTAGTAATTACTATCAGTACTACTACTACTATTACTACGAGAAGATATTCTTAGTAAACCTTTTTTTCCGTAATAGTAATGTTACGAATTACTATCATAGTACGACTAACACCTACTACCACGACTACTACTTTTGCTACGATTCTACTTACTACTAGTTTCCGTATTTATACTATCAGTACTACTACTACGACTACTACTACTACTACTACTACTACTACTACTACTATTACTACTACTACTACTACTACTAGTTAATAGTTGCTCTTAGTATGTGTAACTACTATAAGTATTTTTAGTAAGTGCTACTACTACGACTACTAGTAACTACTACGAGTAGTAACTACTGCGACTAATCGTAACTACTACGACCACTAGTAACAACTACTACTACTTCCAATCGTAGCTACTACTACTACTACTACTACTACTACTACTAGTAGCCACCACTACTACTACTACTACTACTACTATTACTACTACTACTCTTAGTACGACTACTACTACTACTACTACTACTACTACTAGTATTTATTATTACTAGTAACTGCGACTACTCTTAGTACTACTACTATTACTCATACGACTAGTAACTACTACTACGACTACTACTACTACGACTACTACTGCTACTACTAGTAACTACGTGTACTGCCACTCATCACTTTTAGTAGTTTTTCTATTCGCAGTAGCACTACCACTTCTACTGTCACGAATTACTATGAGTAGCACTAGGTTCGTGCATCTGGTGGCGAGGGGCGTCTCCGAGGACCTCGGCCACTTCGCCGGGGGCCCCGAGGCCTTCGCCGAGCAGAGGGCCAGCGCAAGCGCGGTCGTCGTCGACGCCGCCGCGCTCTGGCTCAAGCTCCGGCGCGAGGGGGGCGCGCGCGCCCACGGGAGCGAGATCCACGCCGCGGGCGCCGAGAAACGCCTTCAGAACCTCCGCCGCAAGTTCCGCCAGACGCAGCCCGAGGAGGACAGGGCAGCCTTCGAGGCCGGGGCGGCGAGGCACTTGGCGCAGAACCCCGACCACAAGGTGAGAGTGGAGCAGGCCCACTCGAGCGCAGGGGGCAAGCGCAGGATCACCTTCGCCAACATTTCCGCGGTCGAGGGCTGGTTTGACCCGAGCAAGGGGCCCAAGTCCGCCAAGCAGCGCCGCGTGCTCTTTGCCCCCTGCGCACGGCATTGCCGAGTGAGCGACGCGAGCCTCGAGAGGGGCACCTGGCGGCGTGACGTCACCGACGAGCGGAGCGATGGCGAGACAGAGCGCTTCCGCGCAGGCATGCCCCTGGGAGAATTGCTCAAGGGCCGGCGCAACGCTCTGCTCGAGTTCTCCGAGGAGGAGCGCGCGAGGGTCTTCGAGGCCATCGACGCGCGGGGGCAGCCCAGGCCCTGGGCCGACGAGCTCGTCGCTTCTTGGACCATCGACTTCACCAGGCAGCAGCGCGGCCAGATCCTCGCGTTCGCAGGCTGCTTCTCGAGCCAGTGGACCGAAGCAGTGGCGCTCCGAGCGTGGCTCCAGAATTCGATCCACGCGCCCATGGCCCTCGACGTCGCGAGCTGCTCGCAGGGGCCAGACGCCCGCGAGCGCAGCCTGCTCGAGGCCAAATTCGGGAGGTCAAGAGCGAGATGCACTGGGCCATGGGGCAGGACTGGGTCCAGAAGGCCACGGCCGAGCCTCAGAAGCAATGCAAGTCCCCGACCCAATTGAGTCTCCACGAGCGCCCCCACTGCGCCTGCGAGGCCTACGCCCGCTTCCGCGAGAAGAAGAAGGCGCGGCGCCGCTCCGAGGCGGCCCGGCCGACAGAGCAGGGCGAGCTCAAGGTCGCCGCGGGCGTGGTCAGTTGAGCGGAAGATCGGGGCAAATTGGAACCAGAGATTCTGGGAGAGTTCCAGAGAAAAATAGAACGCCGATTTGTGGAGCGCAGCGCGCGCATTCGCAGAAGCCCCCAAAGAGTGTTCGCGGGCTTGAGGAGCCCAAGTAACACATGGGCGCTCAATTAAACTGTTGAGGGCGGGCAGAAAATCTGGTGTGCACGAGCATGGTGAGGGGGTGCGCGGCTTGCACGGGGGGCACGGTAGGTTTGCGTTTCAGGGACTTGGGCGCTGGCCAATGCGCTGATGGGGGGCCCGAGAATGCGTCGCACATATTACGCCTGTGGCGCCATGGAGGCCGCATTTGCGGTTGCAGTTGGGCGGGCGCCCCGCCGCGCGCACCGTGGCGACAGCTCTCTTGGGCGCCCGCCCGCCGCCGTGGACGTAGCGGACCCAGCTAGTCTCTCGGTCGGCGCGCGGCGGGTCGGCAGCCACGACGCTGGCGGCCTGAAAATGCTTCGAAAGTGTTTATCCCCGAGCCCGGGGCTATTGCACGTTTTCGGTGGCACGCGCAGCTCGGAGAAAAATCGCCCTGTCCGTCGGCGGCCAGTTGGCTGTCGTCGCGCAGAAGTACCGGCGGATGGCGCGGTCCACGCTCAGCGCAGAGAGCGCGTCCATGAGCGTGGACTCGTCGAGGGGCAGGAGGAAGGACCTCGCGGTCGGGGCCATCGCGGCCCGCGATGTCCACGGCCCCCACCCTGGGCGCGCGAGGACCTGCTGGGCGCCGCCGCAGCGCGATTTCAGAGGACCTCGGAACCAGAAATCCGGGCGCGCCAAATTTCGCGGGCCGAAGAACTTTCAGAGAGTTTCGGCCAGCTCCGAGGTTTTGGGTTTATGGGAATGTTTCACGCGGGGTGGCTAGTGCAGAGATTTTCAGAGATTCTCAGAGAAGTTCGGGCGCGAGAATTTGGCGCGCCCCGGTTTCTGTTTCTGTGAATCTCTGAAAAGCGGTTCCTCAGGGTTCACCGGGTCCCCAGGCGTCCTGCTGTCAGCCAGAGACGAGCGACTGGCTGGCGCCGCGCCCGATGCTTCCAGAGTTGCGAACTCGGTCTTCGATTCCCTGGGGCCCGCGGGCCCCTCGGCCAATTGCGAGGCTGCCGAGGCCCCCAGGCGGTTGCGCGCGATTGTCTCGGAAACCGGAGTTGGGCATCCATAGTGGACGCCCGCGCGCACGCGCTAGGTGTCCGCGATATTGTTCGGTGGCGGATCTTGCATGGCGCGGGGATTTTCCAAAGACTTTCTGGGGTGTTCTCTACGGTAATTTCGGCGCGCTTCGGGAACCTTGGGGCGGCGTGGGGAAGTCGCCTGGCCGCGCGCGTGACTTTTTTCCAATGCCGTCTTGGGCATTATCGCGGTGTTGCTTGGCCGAAGAGGTCACTGAGTAACGCGGTTTTTGACATTTTAATGTTTTTTTCGTTGCGTTGGTTGCGTGATCGTTTTGGCGGTCCGCCTCCTTGGGGCCCCCTTTGGGCTTCAAGTTTGTTTTGTTGACGTCGGGCCTTCTGGAGTGAAAGGCGCTTGGCGCTGAATTCCCTCGGTCGTGCGCGTGGCCAAATACGCGCCGTGGCTTCGTCCGCGCCGGGGCGCTTTTCTTCCCTCGCGAAGCCAATGGCGCCCAAGGCGTGGCAGGCCCGTTCGGCGGCCCCCCCGGTGATTTGAAAAACCGAGCATGATCTTTATCCCGGTCAAATTTTGCCCCGATCCCGGCATCATCTTACGTGGGGCCGTGGAGCTACTCCATCGAGCCCGGCCGCGGCATCGAGAGCAGCCCGGCGAGGGGGCGCCTGCGGGGCGCGCAAAGCTGGCCCGAGGGCGCGCCGCCCGTGCCCGAGTGGGGCGTCCTCGACGGGAACTGCTTCCACAACGACGACTTGCCCAGGGACAACGAGCCGGGCGAGAACCCCTGCCTCCTGGAGCTCCGAGAACTGGACCTCGAGCTCACCGACGAGCAGAAGGACATGTTCATAACGCCAGTTCGAAGAGCGGATCAAGGAGATCCAGCTTCCGCGCGCCCTCCAGAATCGGATCAAGTTCTCGCGAGCAAGTGCTCGCAAAAACAGGTGGGCGCCCAAGTTCGCGGGCCAGTTCCCGGGCAAGCACGCGCGCAAGTGGCAGCGCGAGAAAGCCAAAACTGGCGGCGAGGCCACTCTCGAGCACCTGAGCCGAGGCGCGGCCACGGCGAAGCTCACAGGCAGGCCGCCGAAGGCGCAGACGAGCTTCTCCAATAAGTTCAACCAGGACAGCGCCAAGCAGAAGGACAAGTGGGGATGCCCACTTGCCTGCTGTTCGTGGTAAATCATAGAATCAAGTTGTGAGGGGTTCGTATGTCTGCAGTAGTGGTGCTGGTGCTAGTATACAACATAGTTGCTATGATATGGTGTCGTCGTGATGCTGGTATTGATGGTGGTGCTCTGCATTGTATGTGATGTAATTATGATGATGGCGATTGTGTCAAAGGCGGTGATGGCAATAATGACTAAGGACAGGTTTTGCCCTAGCTGCTGGCATGGGGCGTGTCAGCGGGCAAATCCCAATCCCATTCACTCCCTGCCTATCCCCTCCGCCCCCGCCCCCCTTCCCCCAACAGACCCAGAGGGGGCCCCCAAGAGGCCCGAGGACGCCTCCAAGAAGGCCCCGAGATGGCCCAAGAGGCGCCCAAGAAGGCCCCAATACGGCCCCAAGAGGGGCCCAAGAGAAGCCTGCCACGAGAAGCACCCGCGGGACGATCCACGTAGCCGCACGCACTAGTACTGGGGGGGGGGGGGGGGCTGACGGCAGAGGGCGAAGCCCTTAAGGCATCTGGCAACGAGCGGTTGAGACACGAAAGACAAGTGACAATTACAATGTTCTGACACAGTTGGGCAACGAACGGTAGGTGTCATTGGTCATTCTTTGTACTTCTCAGCTATGGCTTCATCCCGACACACAAACTCAGACGTGTGACGTGCCCTCTCCCCAGCTCCTCCCTCCTCCCTCCTCCCTCCTCCCCCCCCTTTCCTGGTAGCCAGCAGAGGGGCCATCTGCTGGCTCTGAAAAGATGCAAGACCGATCGCTACCCGCAACAGCGGCCAGTCAACAGCATCGAACTTCGTCGAACAGCAGAGCACTGCTTCAACGCGTGAAAAAAGAGCTGGTGTTCTTGGCACTCGTCCTCTGTGGTTTGTGGTCGTCGAATGGCGCGCGCTCCCTATAGAGCGCGCCCAACTCAGACTGCTTGATCGCCACCTCATCGGGGATGTCCGTCAAGTAGGGCATCTTGAAGACGCGCACGCAAGCGAAGGGGTCCTCCAGTTCCTCGGTGCGGTACTCGATGCGGTGGGTGGCGACCACAGGCTGTTTGCCATTTTTCTGTTTCTCCTGCACCTTCGACGGCCCCCCGCATGCCGAAACTGAGCTCTCTGAGGGAGGCAGGGGCGGCATGCGGAACGCCGCGCAGCAGTCCGACCTGCCGCTGTCGATGTCGAGCTTGCCGTCGATGTAGAAGCTCTCGTCACCTTCAGTCTCCGCGACGATCTGCACGGCGGTGGCCTTGCCGAGAAGCTGCGCGGCTGCCTCTTCCACCACGCGCCCGAAGAAAGTGAGTTTACAAGTTCCAGCGCCCGCCGCGCGCTGCAACGTGATCTTCGGGTTCTCTGGGTCCACCTCGAAATCGCGCGTGATGGGGAGATTGGATGGGCCCACGTTGTCCGCGTCGTAGTCGATGGCGGCTCTCTTCATGAGAAGGGTTTGGATGGTGCTCATCAGGTAGCGCTTCACGATGTTCTGCTTGCCGATCGGCGATGCGGATTCTGCCTTCTCCTGCGCCGAGATCTCTTTGCGCCACTGGGTCAGCGGCGCTGGCCCGAACTTTGATCTCGCCGCCAGGAAGATCGCCAGTCGAAACCATCTGCACGTCCTGCCCCTGCCGCTCCGCGGCCTGCGGCAGGTGTTGACCTTTCATACCAGCCACAACCGAGCCGAGAGGGTCTGCTAGCTTAGCGCACGCATCAAGGGACAACGGGTTTTGCTTCGCGAACTGTTCGACGACGTCGGCCACCGCCTTCTGGCGCTGCGTAGGGAACGCGTCGATGTTGCCACTGATCTTCCAGCCTGGCGGCATCTGGATACCGTGCTCCTTGATGGTGCACAGAAACTTCGCGTGAGACTTCGACATCAACACCTCATAGAGCTTGTCCTTGCTCTGCTGAAAGCCGATGCCATCGTGAGTCTTGCAGTGCGCGTTGAACTCCAGACACTTCTGGTAGACTCGCTGCCAGAAAGCAGGGAAGCTCATGCCTGTCGCCCTCTGGATCCCGTTCAAAACAAAGACGTGGCCACCAGTCGCATTCCGAACGGCCTCGTTCGTCAAGTCGGTGAGAGCGATGATGTTGTCGGTCATCTGGTGCACGAACAAAGGTAATTACGGTCTCGACGTAGTAGCAGGCCCCTCCCTGACGTTGCAATTCTGCCCCCCCCAGTGTCTTCAAGCAGTGCGCGAGCAAGTCAACACGCATGACCAGTATGGAGTTCTGGTCTATGTTGAGCTTCATGATGTCTTCGAAGGGCGTGCCAGAGAGAAGCGGCATGTTGTCGCTATTCACCGTCGCCTGGATGAGCTCGGCCACGTCGTCGAAGGGTCTCGGGAGTTTCTCCGAGACAGCCTCGGTCAGAACCTTGACGAGGAAAGCGCACGCGTTGTCCTCGGTATCGAACGCACCTCCGATCGTCACGACGTGCTGGAGCAGCGCCATCATAGCGGAGTTCATCACACCGCCAGACAATATATTGGCCGCGACGGGGACGGCGCGAGGGTTAGATTGCTGGAGGATGCCGAGCAGCGTCGCCGCAGGCTTGCTCAGCTCGCCGATCTTCTGTTGCAGCTGGGCAACCGACATGGTCGCGTCGATGTCGCCGTCGTCGTCGTCGGCAGATGCGGCCACGACGAAGTCCTCATCGCAATCGCTCGGTCTCGCAGTGAGCTTTGCGTCCTTTTACAGCAGCACTTTGAACATCTGCCTCAGCTTGATCCAACCCCTGACCTCCGTCAGCACATCCTTCGACCCGAGCTTCAGGCGCGCCACATCAGTTGCTGCCGCATACAGCGTGATCTTCCAGAATGCTTCGATCTTGGCCGACTGCCTTCCACTCTCGTCGACCTTCGCGAGGTACGCGAAGGTGGCGCACATGTCATCGGCGAATGTGCCTGTGGCGTCGACGTCGGCGTCGACACCTACGTCTCGCCCTGCAACCGCATCTGATGCACCCTCCCCGCCGTCACACAGCGGAAGGGGCTCAGGGGCAGATCCATTGGCTGGGCCTTTGCCGCGCCCCTTGCCTCGACCACGACTGGCAGCGGCGGCGCGACCTCCGCGCCCCCGAGGGCGTTTTGCCTGGGGCGCCTCCTCCTGCTCATCGCCGCCGCGTGCCTCCGCTGCCTTGCGCTTCGTGGCAATATGCATCCGCTGCTTGATCGCTGCCTTTTTCGCTGCCAACTTCTGGGCGTCGCACAGCTTCGAGTCTGTGCCGATCTCATCCAACAAGCCCTTCAAGCTGGCCTCATTGACCCCTACCAGTAGTGGAAGGCCATCAGGGGCGAGCTTGCATTTGCCCCAAGCAGTGCTGTCACCCTCGTAGCGCTTCGCCTTCGGGAGCATAAGGAGAACGATGTCGACGATCAGCGTCGGCTTCTGCTTGAAGATCCGCATCGCCGTAGCTGCAAGGTTGAAGACGGTGTGAATGTGGCCAAGCGGCATGCGGGTGAAGTCGACCTCGTTCTGGATCTTGTAGTCGAGCTCCTCCCAGATAGACTTGCCAGCAAACTCGTGCCGAACTCCAGGAAGGTAGGGGTGCACGGCATCCTCGTCGTGATAGGTCGTCGTGGCAGCATTGTAGAAGTATTGGCAATCACGATAGTTGTTCGGCGTGGCATTGGCGATTTCCCAACGTTTCTCCCTCCGCGCCTTCTGCCCGAGACCAGAGTACGTCCAGCTCGATGCCTGAGCTTTCTTGTTGAACGCCGCCTCCACGGCCGATGTGCTTCTTCAGATCTCTGACGGCGTGATGTCAGTGCGATTCGCATTGGTCTTGTTTCCGAGCTCTCTCAGGAAGACCAAGCACTCGGGGCGTTGGTAGATGCCCCTGCGGTAGAGCTTGCAGTGGCGCATGCCCTCTTGGATGCTCAGCTGGACGGAGCGGGTTTTCCGACCCTTGTCGGTAAGCCGCGCGCGCTTCAGCCCGCCCAGGAGCGTCGCGCTAGGAATTGCACTGAGCCTATCACTATTGTTGGCGTCTTCGTCTTGCATGAGCCAAGCCGACTTTGTATCCAAGACCCCGACGCTCTCCACCGACTTTTGGCGATCGATGAGCGATCCGATCTCGCCCCTGTCGTTGAAGCAATTTCGATGGACGCGAAAGCGTCCACTCGAATCCAAATGCTGCAAGTGGTAGTCTGCGTCGATGCAGGAGTCCTGGTCGATGAGGCTGGCGTACTCCTTGTCGCTCTTGTTGGGCCCGTACTTGTCAGCGATTGTCCGATCAGTGCTTCGGGGGGTGGAAGCCTGCACATCGATGCCGAGCTCGGCGAGTGCCTGGTCGACCTCCGCTGCGCCGCCCCCCTTGCCGCGGCGCGCCATGCTGCTTGGACGTCGGCAAAACCAGGCGGCCAAAGGTTGGGCGCGCGGCGCGCGCCGACGAGGACAAATCCTCAAATCCACCCGGCGTGGACGAGCCAAAATGGCTATGGTCACGGAGGAGGATGGGGAGGAGGACGCGCATTCAGCATGAGGGAGCGTCAGCATATGTCAGTTATGCATCAGCGGCTGGTTCCACTAGGGGCTCTCGGGCGGCAGTTGCTTCTTGCGCAATTCGAACTAGAACTGCGTAATTCCCCACCCGCCCATACTTATCACCCAGGGCCATCGGGGGCCGCATGGGTCGGGGGTCACAGGGGCCACAAGGGGGCCACAGGGGTGCCACAGGAGGCCGTGGGGGCCGCAGGAGGCCGTAGGGGGCCGTAGGGGGCCGTAAGGGGCCGTAGGGGGCCGTAGGGGACAGGGCCCGCTGGCAATTGGCCCGCTACTGCCGAGGATTTCTGTTGGGGTCCTCCCTGATGTCTTGTCCTTGAGCCAAAATGGTTACAGGGGGAGCACCCTTGCGTTCGGTTTCACTTTTATTTTTGCTTTCCATGGGAGGCGGACCAGGGCCCATTGCGATAACCCCAAAACGAAAAATTGCCTTCGGGCCCCTGGAGGGGGAACGTGGAGAAAGGGAGGGGGGACGCAGGAGCGCCACTCTCATTGTGCGGCCAAGCCTCAGGTGGACCGCCCCCCCCCTCCACGCGTCACGCTGCCTTGCGCCCTGGCGCTGGGCAGAACCGTGACGGGACGAGCCCCCGCCCCCGCCCCATACAAGGTGTCAGACCTTGGCGGCGGAGGAATGGAGGAGGAAGGGGGGGAGGAAATGAGGGAAGCGGGAGGAGGAGGAGGGGGGAATGAAGGGACGAGGGCTCGATGCTGGACGTTGCGTTTTAAGGCTATCTTCAAACGAGTTTGATGCTAGCCATTGTTTTCCAAGCCCATCTTCAAACAGACCCCCTCTTGTTTGAAGATGCTTTTCAAATCAAGCATCTAGCTTCAAACTCGTTTGAAGCTGTTTTTTTTCTCGGGGCGCCGCCAGCAGCAGTTGGCAACGTTCGTCTGCCGCGGGCGGAGCGAAAAACTCGCTCAGTGTCTGCGCCTCGCGCCAACTACACAACCCTGTCGGCGCAAACAGGGCAAGTGAACGCATTGCGTTCGAAATAGATACGCCCAGGATCGACCACTCGACAGCGCTCTATGTGCCAGGGCGCGGTGCAAATTACGCAGCCATGCAGATGAAGTCCTTCAACTTTCCGCAGCATCTCGGAGTGCTCTGGCAGGCCGACCGCAACCGCGGCACTGCAGATGATGCACTGTTCGTACGACGCTGGGTCCTGTGGCCCAGAAAAATGCTGGAGGCGCAGCCAACGCTGCTTCTGCAAGCACCACTGCGGCATGTCCAGCCGTTCGCCAGGCTTCCCCTTCGAGTACACCTGCCCGACGTCCTTAATTGGGTAGCTCCAGCCCTCAGCCGCGGGGAAGAAAGCAGGCTTGTCCTTGGCGTAATGCAACGCCACGATGCGGCCACGATGGTCGATGGTGAGCACCCGCCCCTCGAAGATGGCACCATTCCTCCAATGCACAAAAGATGTTGTATCGGCGTTGGTAACTAACGAGATATTGCCATTCACCAGCTCGGCATCGGCTTGAGAGGCTGTCTTCGCATCTGCATGTCTGAGAAGTTCTCTTCTGCTTCTCGTGGCATCGCGCGCCTGTGTGAGAATATCGCGCCACTGCTCGACAGTGCCCAAGTCGGTGATATCATAGATAGGCTTAGGCCCTAGTGGCCCCATAGCTGCATCATCGCCGAAATCACAATGGCCATCGTCATCACTTCCAGAACGATCTCCAACCTCATGGCCATCAGAGTCGTAGTGCTGCTCCTCGGGGTCGGCGATCGTGGCAACGTCGTCTCCGAGTGTCAGCTCGTCCTCGTCAATGTAAGCCTCTAGCATCGACCCCAAATCCTCGAAGGTAAGATCCTCGCAGCCCCCGTCAGCGCCAGGGTCACCAAGGTCACCACTAGCGTCGTTCCCATCGGCGCCTGCGTGCCCACCTGAAGAAACATGCGCTAGAATTGCATGGCACACCAAACCAGCTAACCACGATAATTGCAGTATAGTGGAGGAGGGGGGAGGAAGGGGGTGGGAGAGCGCACGCTTCCAGTGTGTCTCTCAGTCGGCCCAGGGTCCCCAAGTCCAATCAGTCCAGGAGTCCAGGAGGGGTGAAAGTCGGCACTACAGGAAGGGGGAGGGGAGGAATAGGTGAAGGAGGAATAGGGAGGAGGATGAGGAGGGTAAGTAGGAGGATGAGTTGCCCCCCTTGCAATTATTGAAGTTAGTTGGTTGTTGTGTGTGCCAGCATTCAAGCATATGTTGTGCCTCCCTCGCCGGTTGCCGGACTGCGCGGCGGTCGCTGCGCTCTGGTCGGCCTGATCTCGATTTCCTGCTCCGACGCGGCCTCGTAGTAACCGGTGCCCAGGACAGGCCATGCGCAGGGTGCCCTATACAACTTGATGGCCGCACGAGGCCGCCTCTCGGCAGTGATGGCGAACATGGCGCAGCCGTCGGATATGATGTTCGTCAGCGTGTCGATGGCAAAGGGCTGATGCAAGGTCACACAGCGCCGCGTGTCGTCGCCATCTATGCGGGTAGTTGTACACCGAGCGACGTAGACATTTCGGTAATAAGACCACCTCATGACAAAAGAGTTCCTGCTGTCTCTCGTCGGGTCGTCGAACGACCAAGCAAACCCTACACCTTGCCAGTAGTGATCGCATATAGACCAAGCGTAAGGCGCTGCCAGCACGTTCTCGAAGGGTCGACAGTTACCACAGACTGGCGCTGCACACTTGCGCGGCTGCGGCGTGTCAACGACTGGCATGAAGCGAGTGTGGTGATCGTGCGATTGAAACTCGGCCTGCACGAGCGCATGCAAGCTCTCGCACTCGCTGGCTGAAATTGGGTCACCTTTCTGAATGACAACACGATCGCTAATGAGGGTATGGCTCGACCGAGGTGACAACCTGCACATGTGCTGTAGCAGTGACGCTAACCCCTCGAGCTCTTGACTGTCAAGTGGGATTTTGGCCCTGAGGAACAGCAGCGCCCCGTACAACCCCACTGGTACACATCCCGTTGATTGGACGCGTTCAAAGTCGGACCTGTAGAAGTGCTTGTACTTGACCGCTATATCGCTGTCAGGCCGCCCAATGCAGCAATCATCAAGGTCAAGCAATTCCGAGGCAATGTCTTTCCGCACATCGCGTGGCTCTCTAGGGTCGCCCTCGAGGAGATTCAACAGCTTCAGCGGCACGCTCCGCGTTCTGCGCAGTATCCTGACGCTGAAGGCCGTCGCGACCAAAAGAAGTAAAGACATGATCAGATCCCTGGCCTTCAGATGCAATTCTTCAGAAAGTAACTCGAACACCAGCCCCCGCTCCTTGACGTCGTGCTCAGTAGAAGGCAACAACTGCTCATTGAGAGAATTCCACATCGACTGGGCTTCTGTGCAAACGAGCCTCGACATGGCAGTAGGTCCCAAATCTGTTTCACCCTTGGCACTCGCATCTGTTGTTCTCTGGTTTTGCACCTTCACGGCTTGCTGCCCCCATGTCAGT